CAGTCTTCTGTTCACAACCCACAACACTGCCATCACGATGTCGCTGACACGAAGAAATACAGAACCACGTTGACGATGTTGCTGACACGCAGAAGAATCACGTTGAACGCCGGTTGGCACTCGGCACGGAAGGCACCCAGGCAGCCGGCAGGAAAACCTGCCTTCCTTGGACGCAGTTCCCGCGATTTCCATAACGTCGAAAACGTCGACACAGTTCCTCGTGGTTTCGCTGCTGTAGTGGCTGTAGTTCCGCGTAGAGCACTATATAGCTCCTTCGGATCTCGGCGACTAGCGGCGAACGCCCGGAGGTTCCAACTGCGGTCAGAAATGCATGGAGGACGTGAGAAAATTATTGTTTCTTCAGTATTGTGGGGATGTACGGAATGGCAATCGTTTTTGACATAATAATGGAACATTTTAGAATAACTTTCGCTAAGTTTTGTGCCCCACAAGGACGTGACTTTTTTAAAAAAATTGCCTGAGCGGCATCATGCAGCAGACGACACGGCGACGTCACACCATTCACGTGACCCGCTCCGGCCAACCCGAAAAGCCCATCTCCGCTGCGAGCAAAAACCGTCTGCTTCAAACGCCATTGCCTTGGAAATTGCGTTCTCAAAATTTTCACACGCATCCGATATTATTAAAATTTTGATAAAATGTTTAGTGCTTTACTAACTTCACGACAGACTAGTTTTGAAAAGTGTGAACTCGCCGCTCATTTTTTAATCAGCCGTGTTGTGTCGATCTCCATGTATTCTCCCATAGGGCGGGCCGCCTCCTGGAACCCTGAGTACCACGTGACTCGCGCCAATCCGCTCTGTCGGCCATGTTGTCGGCAAAACACGGAGTTCAAAGGATTGCGCTACTCTGCTCCGTAGGAGCTATATAGTGCTCTAGTTCCGCGTGCGTCCCGCAAATTGGAGACGGCCGTCTCTGGCCGTCTTACCCAGTGTATGTAGCGCTGCTGGCACTGCTCCGGAACTTCGCTGTTTCTAGCGGCTTCGTTAGCTCGTTTGATAAAATTAGTGGTAAAAACGTCAATGCAACCGAAATGTTCTGCACGTTTGCACTAGAAGACGGAATTACAGGCGGCCTTCGCTGCCGCTGAAGCTCAATCAACTCAACATTAATTTATTAAACAACGTGCGCGATGTGCTCGAAAAACGAAACCGAAAGAAGATGGGTCGGGAGGGCGAAAGCTTTCTCCGGTCTGCCTGGAGGAGGAAAACGTCTCGGAGAATAATAAGGACTTTAATTTTCCTTTCATCGGTCTGGGTTTGTTTATGTGTGTTTTGGTAAACAAAAATTTACAAAAAAAATTTACAAAAAAAAAAAAAAAAAAAAAAAACGACTTTTCTGGGGACCGAACCGTTGACCACTTGGTCAGTAGCGCGATGTTCTACCCCTGCGCCAACTGAACAAGGAGGAACTCACCCTCCTGCTTTCATCTGAACTGCCGTTCCTCCCTTCTCTGGGCAACTTGTCCGCAACAAGGAGGAACAGTCGCTTTTGCTACCTTTCTCCTCCCTTTTTTCTTAGAGTGTAGGTACGAGCCGGCCAGCGAAGGGCCAGCGGCAACAGCAACGAGTCGGACACGCGCCACTGTTCGTCGGTGGCTCAGGCGGTGCCAGCCAAGAGACCGCAGGCGTTCATCGTAGTCAGAGGAATGGTCTTGGCGGGCCAAGGTTCGAGTCGCGCGGGCTGCACACTTTCTAGGCGCTCAGCGAGGTGTATCTGATGAGGGCTCCATAAGAACAGTACTCCAGTCGAGGAAGTACCAGAGCCGTGTACAGTGTTTTCAGGGTCTCCCGTCCAAAACGCGGGGAAAATGTAGACGCGAATCCCAGTACCCTGCGAGACCTGCTCACCACCTTAGCCACATGGCAGCTGAAATCGAATGAGAGCGTGAATGATACACCCAAGGTGTTGAGCTCCTGTACAGGTGGGAGAAGGAGTCCTCCAAGGGTGTAGTGTTGCGTCTCGACCTTCCTGGACGAACTGAACCGCACCACGGCACACTTGTCGTGGCTGACACAGAAAGGGTTAGTGGCAGACCAGACAGCCAGCTTGTCCAGGTGAAGAGCAGTTAAGTTGGGCGAGTTGGTAAACGTTGAACATGGTTAAAATCGCGCACAAAGAGACGAGGACAAACGTTAAAAGCGCGCCTGTCTGTGTTCCGTGTTCCTTCCTCGTTTGTCCTCGTCTCTTTGTGCGCGATTTTAACCTTGTCCAGGTGAGCTTGCATGGCGGCAAGATCATCGGGGGAGCGTATGCACATCGCCAAAGTAGTGTCGTCGGCGTATTGGATGGTGAAGAGCCTGTCGGACTGCGGAATGTCACGAACATACACATTGAAGAGTGTTGGGTCAAGGACGGACCCTTGAGGGACACCCGAGGGGGCTGAAAGGGTATGCGATACAGCACCCTTGTACCTTACGCTAAAACTGCGACCAGCGAGGAAGGCATCAATCCAATGTAACAATTAAGCTGCCTTCTGTACCCCGCAATCCGACAACTTCCTACTAAGGCAGTTGTGGTCCAGCGTGTCAAAAGCGCTGCTGTAGTCCAGCTGGACCACGTCGATGGGAAGGAGGCCATCCATATTGTCACTAACGTAGTGAGACACAGTTGCTAGGGCGGTCTCGCAAGAGTGAGAACGTCGGAACCCATGCTGGGTTGGTGGAAGGAGCTGGAAGCGCTCCAAGTGGTTGAGAAGATGCCTGTTGATTATTCGCTCCAGGATGCGGCACAGGATAGATGTGATGGAAAATGGACGGTAACTCGATGGGTCGCTCGGTGACTTGCCCCTACCCTTAAATATTTCAGAAACAAGCGATTACCGGCACACTTCTGTCGAAACATATATGACATTGACGCTTTCTATATCTGTGATTTTTAGAAGTTTAAATCCTACTCCAGATTTTTGAACGGTCCGGTTTTCGTGGCGAAACCTAGCCACATGTATTTGTCCATAACAACGACCCTAGCAACGGTTTATTTGGACCCATGACGTCACACTTACGGAGTCAATGAACCTCTCCCCGCCAAGAGAGCGTTTGGGAAATTCATGGCGAGCGGAAGTCCAAAACCGAAAGCAATATTTCACGTGACGACTGGCCAATAGTGTGTGCCGCGGCTAGCTCAAAGAATGGCGCCAAAACCATGGGTAAACCATAGCGGTAAACGTCACACTAGGCCGCACTAGGCTTTCTTTTACTGTTATTTTCGTGCCTTTATTTGTCCAAGTAGACGAATAAATGAGAGTTAGCAACATAACACGAAGGACCCAGGTCAACATAAAAGGTCTGTTCGATTCGCCTGAACTTGCTGAACTAATTCAGCAGTGCAGGAACTGGTGTATTCGATTCAATAGGAAGTTGCACGGCCTCTGCACTGGCGCGTTCGATCCGTCCAAGTTCTGAAAGACTTCAGGTTCCTCAAAATCTTGCACCGGCTCCGGAGTCAGTTCAGCGTCCGTGCTGAAGCAGACGAAAAGAGCAGACGGCGATAGCAGACGACACTCCTCGACCGTCTCTGCTCGCGGTGCCATTTTTCGCAGCTCTTGCTTAAATGTCTGCGATGTTTAACAATAACGCCGATACGGAGGTTGCATTTCCTCTCATTTATGATAACGTACCCGCGGTGGACGCGGAATTGAGATCATAACCGAGGGTAGGAATTTGATTATGATATTCTGAAAGCGTTTTAGGCACCTGCTTGCGCAGGTTTTGATCCCTGCGATAGGTGTTGAAATATTGGCTCACGTAAATTGTTTCTTTTTGATGCTATGTGGGGATCCACAGTGTTGATATTCTTCCTTACAGACACAGAAAAGGTATTGCACTCTTGATATTCCCCACCTTCAGTTGCTCTTGGATGCATACTGATGACTCCGATACATTGCAGAGGTCTGGAATTTAGTACATTGGCCCTCGCATGCACCGCAGTTGAGCATAATACTGCATGCTTTGTCCGCTGGCATCTGTGGACGCCCACTAACGGGCCTGGGAAAAACGCCGCGGCATTGGCTTGGTAGTTCCACGCTGGTATTTCTTGGGAATCCGAATAAACGCTTCAGCTTGACACCAAAGTTACGGTCGATAACTATCTTGGCCAAAACGCTATCCTCAGGCCTTCGCCTTCGAAATGACCGCTACCGACCGCGCGCTGCCTCCAGTGACTCCCGACGCAAAATCATTCTGATCGAAACTCGAGAGACTTGAAATGAATATAAAGGACACGAACGCTTATGGAAACGACAGGAACCGAACGGCCGTTAAAAATGCAGACAGAAAAACATTTCGTGCAGAAAACGTTTTTAGTACACTCGAATAAAGAATATTCACAGAAAAGATTCCGTTATTATACTTTCAAACTAAGGAAACACGAATGTTCTCATCATACAACGTGGCGTGGAGGAACAAGAGCCAACAGATCAACAGAAATTGGGTTGTGTGTATGTTTATACAGCCTAGAACTTGGTCTGCCTCACAGGGGCGACGAGTCTCCCAGCTGTAGATGAGCAATTTAGCCAGTGCGGTTTCCTTGCAACAGATGCAGACGACACCCTGCGCTTCCGCTCGGAGAGCCGATCGCAGCGCCAGTCCAAGCGCGGCGGCTGCACTGGTTCTGCGCCGCCGCTGCACGACTCCTGCACTCCTCTGAACTCGGACAGAACTAATTCAGAATTTTCTGGCCGAATCGAACAGACTAAGTGCCACCTAAAGAGTCTTTTTCATATCACACCTTCGCGCCAACGCGCTGGCCACTGGCGCCTGCCGTCATCCCGGTTCCGCCAAAACCGAAACTGAACATCCCGCAAAGTTAGACGTTTTATAATGTAATATACAAATAAAAATTAATATACATAAATTATTTTTCTACAAAGAAATGCTATTGTATACTTTTGTGTGTGTTTTGATGCTAACTGTGTGGAGCTTTCACGACAGCGTGAATATTTGTATCCAATGGTATCCAATCCAGTCTCTTTGGCTTCTAACGTCACAAACTCCCGCATTTTCTGTTTTTGTTCTCGCCACGGTGCCAACGGATTATTTCTCGCGTCTGCTCCAGTTCGTTGCCGTGTTCGGGGCCTCATTTGAAGATCACACTACAGTCACTGGCGCTGACACCTCACCGCGTTGTCCCCGAATTTCGGTAGGAATTTCAAGATTATGCACAACACTCTACGTTCGCAGTAACTAGCTGTCAGGAATTTCGCAACGTCAACTTCGCGATGTGCTCATCGGCGATTTCTGCGATGAATGGCATTCTCGCCAAACGTCTGCCGGCGTTCGCTGTGTCACGCCGCTGGTGTTCCGTAGCGCACACGCTTCGCGTCAAGCAGGAGATCGAGGAAAAGCGGAAAGCGGCCCTGCTTGGCGGTGGACAGAAGCGAATCGACACGCAGCATAAGAAGGTAAGCCCCGCGGCTACTTCAAAGATGGTTAAGATATTTGCCTTTGTGTATGATCGACTGCGTAACGACTCCTTGCGTTACATTACGTAGCTACCGGCGGTCGTAACGCAGTCGGTCATGCTTAAACACAAATGTCTGAGCTGTAGCCTTTAGTTTCTAACTTCGGATCGCCCGCGCGCGCGGTGCATGAGTAAAAAGGCTGATCCATGCATGCTGCAGGTTTCCCTGAAGATGTGGTTTGCTGGTCACTTCACAGCGAAATTGCATGACACAGCCGGCTGTAAAAGGAAGCACAAACAAATAATTTAAGCTAGCAACTTTCAAAACGAGACTAGTAGATGTCCTGTTTACGTTCCCCAACCAGCTGGCTGTCGCACAACCAAAAAGAAAAAAAAGCTTAAGCTAACAATTTTTAAAAAGGGACTATATATGTTCATCTGACTGCTACGTACCCCAACCATATGCCACAGCAAAAAAAAAAAGAAAAAAAAAGTTTGAAAGCCGTTTTAGTTCACTTTTTATAGTTTTGTATAAAGGTTGAACTGAAACTTGACATTTTTCTTTAATGTTTTGAGTCATATGATATGATTAGGATTCCGCATTTGTCGGAGTTTATTTTTCGTCATATTCGGAGGGTGTTTTTCGGAGTTTATTTTTTACCGAAAATTCGGAGTTTATAGGTGTTTATTTTTGTTTGATTGCAAAATCTTCGAAACTTGCAGCTTAATTCACACAGTGTTTCCTATGAAAAATAAATAAATGAATAATATCCGGGTGTAACCGTATGCTAGATAAAGTAAAATAAAACACTTATATGAATTAATATTTCTTCAGCTGGATTTGGTGTTGGTGTGATTTCCATTGGCAATACTAATTTGTACCATGGCAAAAGTTGCACACATCTGTGGCTTCGATAAACATCAAAACCTTAAACTGAAGGTAGTCACTGGGAAGCACATATTCATCCCATTCTATTTCATGCTATACGCTGTGGCCGTGCGAGGTGCAGTGGTAAAGGATGTAATGGGGAAGTTTCAACTGCCCCTCTTCCCAATATTATGCAGTCTCTATGGTCTATATAGCTTCCACTTTTACAAAAACACAACCTCTCCTTCCTCTTAAAACACAAATAGTATTCGTGACTCCGGTGAACTATTTGCGTCTCCAGCTCGACGCTCGCCCTCCCGCGGCGGAAACGGGAAGCGCTCTAGTGAGGGTCCCCCGATTCTCCTGCTCAGCGGGCATGGCGGAACTGCTTGCGATCATGGCTCGCGAAATGTCGTTTCCGAATGCAAACAACACTCTTCACTGTCCCAACGTAGTGCTGCAGCCGGTATGGAATTGTACCTTACTGGAGAGTTTTAGTATTGCGCATAGAAGCAAACGCAAGCGGTGTGCGTTTGCGTTAGAGTTGCGTGCCCCACGTTGTGAGTGCGCCTCATCGCCATGCGCCGTCCAAGACCGCAATTTCGGGCTCCGCGCACGCGCAGTGTGGAACGCGCAAAGCTAACGCAAACACACAGGGCTTGAGTTCGCTCGTATACGCAATATTAAAACTCACTACTGTTTCACCGGCTTCCAATGCCAACGAAACGTGCTGAAGTGAGCATATGTGCAAGCAGGTAGGCGTTCCTTCGAACTGGAAAGGCTGAGATTCACAGAACGACGGCGAGCAAATACAAAAGTCAATAAATGTTATGAAAAAACTAGTAATTAAAAAAAAAAAGGCTTATTTTAACTTTTGGCCATTTGGTCTGGAAGTATATTGGCGGCGACTTCGGACGTTTCGCCGATTGTCAAAAGACGCGACTTTGATAGCACAATATACTTTACCCACAATTAATGTAATTTTACATTAATTGTGGAAATTAAATCCAAAATAAAGGTAAGTTTCGGTTTCACTCCAAAATTAAAACGCGCACCCTTCCATAAAAAATTAATTAACATTAATTTACATTAGCTAGAATGTTTTCATTGATTTTAGACTATTTTTATTTTATTTGTAATTAAAATGCAGCAATTGTAACCAGTGATGATAATTAGCACAGTTTTCATTGTCATATTACTTTGCGCATTTGAAATTAGATCACAAGCAACAAATTATATTAGAGCTTGAGGAATTACTTATTCAAATATGTGAATTTTAAGATTATTATTATTAATACAAATCGCGGCAATGTATGCCTCTAATTAACGCCAAGATCACGAGAATACTTTATTTAACCATAATAGTCTTTCCAGAAAGGTATAAATCTGTTTTCTTTTTAGCATATGAAAAACTCTGACATAGTTATCAAGATAGACGCACAGTCAAACACTGGATGTAATATGAAGTCCTACGCGTCACGCGATGCTATAAAAACACACACATACACACTTCAGCTGCCTGACTCGGATTCCGTCTTGGGTTGTTGCAGTGAGAGCAGTGTTTATTAGTTTATGCGTTTCGTGGACATATTGTAAAAACTGGAATTATTCTCTTATTCTTGTGCAGGGATAATTGTCATTATTTCCGATGACAATTATCTGAGCGAGAAAAAGGTAGCGAGAACGCACAGATATCAGCACTGATTTTTTCAACAACTACGAATATCAGCCTGGATCGAACAGTATGTCACAAAATAAAGTTTCCGCGAACAACTTTTCTAAGTAAATAATTACGATGTGAGACACATCTTGAGTCACGAAAGAATCCGAAAGTAAGACCTCTATCGAGAAATTAAATCCAAAATAGAGGTAAGTTTCGGTTTCGCTCCAAAATTAAAACGCGCACCCTTCCGTAATTAATACGCTAAACACCGTTCTTGTTTTCAGGTTAAAGAGGTGACCTGCGCTCATAAAACATTAGCTTCCTCGTATTACCAGAAATAATTTGTGTCGCTCAGTGAAGCCAGCACACTAGATAGACTCAACAGGGTCACGCATCTCTGACCCTCACTAAACCCGCCATCTTAGAAAATTAGTGGCGCCACCTATAGTTAGTTGGAGTCGCGAATAGGGGGCACGCTGATCAGGCAAAATGGCAGACGAAAGGAGGTTGTGTTCGTATTTCAGCATGCTGACCACCATAAATTTCTTGCACTGCAGTGTAAAAGCGGCGTTACATATGAAAGCAAAGGGATTTTTCGACGGTAGAAACCTTCTTAAGTAGAGCCCAACGAATAAGAGATGGTGCTCAAATAGCCAACCTGATGTAGCTCGAAGATTCTGGGGAGGACGATAGAAGTGCCGTGCTGGTCACCGGCAGCGGTGGTGGACGTGACAGGACGCTCCCCAGCTTGATGGTCCACGGAAGCTTTGGCAGCCAGGAGTCGGGACGCTGCGACGACAGCGACACTCGCGTGTGCTTGTGCTTTTCGACGGAACTTCTGCGGCCTACCGCCAGAATCCCGACGTCCGACGGCGTGACATTTGTTGCCACCTCTGGGCCACTTTCGACGCGTGGGTAGAATAGGACGCCAAACACATCAGTCGGAGGTGCCTCCCAGGTGTCATATCAAAGGTAGAAAGCTTCCGCTGAAGGTGGGGCAACCGAGACACTTCCCCGCTGTTCCTCTCCCGTGAGCGACCGTGGTCGCCTATGGATTATCAATTTCTCGTGGAATGTCAACCCGAGACCGTGGAACGTGGAATATGATGAATGGAATTTAAGCTCTCAAACTCAAGCTCTTCATTTTTCTCTAGTTTGAAGAGGGAGGGCAGAAAAAAAAGGATCTAATATGTTGCTTGACAAGCCTCCGCCTCCCCCCGCAGCAGCAGTAAAAAAAAAAAAGTCAATAAAAAAAAAATCAAAGTTTGCAGTTTAGCAAAGATTTTAAGATAGAGATATTATAGAATCTATTTACATCTTAAGTATATGAATAATCGATGTGGAGTGCAAGTTTGTCTGCTTTTCTTGCACGGGTTGTGGTGACGTCGGAAAGATGCCAAGCTTCGATTGGCTCTGACTGGAAGATAGTGGGTAGACCTCAAGGCAGCTTGTTTTTAGGTATACCCACTGTCCTTCAATCAGAGTCAATCGGAGCTTGGCTTTCTGACATCACTGCAACCCCTGCGAATGAAGCAGACAAACTTGAGCTCCGCATAGAAAGATCACAAACAAAAGCAGAATGCTAATTTTTCACACTTTCATATTGAATGTTTATATAGTGGAATCTCGTTGTTTCAAACTCTCTAAATTCAAACTCGCGGTGATTCAAACTAACGCGCAGGTCCCGTCCTATGTGTTTCTAGGAAGGAAACTCTCTGTAACTCAAACTTTGCATTATTCAAACAAAGTTTTGGTCGGGTTCAAATTAACGAGATTCCACATGTATTCAGTTCATTGTAACAATTTGAAAGATGGGGAAGGGTATATTTTAACATTTTATCACCGTAACATCTTTGGCTTTTGCAGGGAAAGCTGTCGGCGAGGGAGAGGCTGTCTGTCCTACTGGACCCTGGCACCTTTGTCGAGTATGACATGTTCATGGAACACACATGCTCGGACTTTGGCATGGAAAAGCAAAAGGTAGGGTCGTCGGTGCCATATACCTGCTGTCGTGCCGCGTCTGCCCGACGACCTTGCGACCACCTCGATCGGTTTGCACGTCGCTGTTTGGTTAAAGGATTTGTTCCGGTTGTCCTTGGGAAAATGTAGTTTCTGGAGTTCCTGGCCACTCTTTTGTGCCTGTTGTCATTGGCTAGGCTCGTTTCATTAACCCACACCTCCTTCACCCGTGCAGGAATGTGTAGGCCGGTGTACTTTTGGTTGTATCTCAATACACATATGTACCGAAAGTACGCTGCCGTGCACTCTTCTGCACCAGTGCAAGAGGTGCGGGTAAATCGAATGAGCCTACTGGGCCCTCCAAAGTTGGTATTGAAGAGGTTTCTTTCTTTTTGAAGCATAGACTGCCTTATTACAAGAACCCCTTACTCCAAGAACTTTGTATGTCTGTCTGTTTGTGCATTTTCCTGCTAACTTTAGCATGACATCATGACTTTATGTGGCACAACGTCATCACACCGACAATGTGAAATTTCCCTGTTAAATTTACCGGGAAATTTTCGTATGACAATATTATGTGCTCTAAATTTAGCGTTAAATTTAGGAGGAAAATTGTTCAACAGCTTTGTTCCCGTCGTCTAAGCTGTTTAATGTCTTCTAAGCAGATTTAAAAAAATCGTTGCTTAAAAGGGTGCGGAAACGAAATTTCACCGCTCATTTTCTAGCTTAAATATGTTGCATGTTGCAGCATAACGTCAAGAACACCAGTCTTTCGTTGGGGGGATCAAGAAAACTAAATTTAAAGCTAGTTAAACAATCTTTCAATGTGCACCTGGTTGATGCCTGTGAAGCTTAGCTGGGAGGTAATCGAGCAACGTTGGGTATCTTGCTACGTAGGCCATGACGTAGCAGGAACCATTACATAGCCTCACTCAAGATTGGAGCAGCGCCGCTCTTTAGAAGTACAATCAACTGTTTAAGGGGGAACATAAGCCTAAGTTTCAAATTTTTTTTTTTTTTTAATTCATTTTTTAATTTTGAGGTTTTTGGGTTTAGGAACTAATTATATGCCCTTACACTAAATTTCATAATTATGCGCCAAATAGTTACGCTGATATAAAGTATTTTTCACACATTGTGAGGCAGTAACAAAGTAGAGGAGTTCAATGTTTGAATGCATTTTTCTCAGTTCCATTTTTTGCTGCAAATTTCGTACGAAGGAATCTTTTGTTCGAAGGTAAAATTATTCTGATACCACAATCAAGATGTTTCTGAACTGAAATTTACTTGGGAATCGGGCTATCTACTTTATTTTGTTTTAAGTTCAAGTCCTTATCGAGAAAAGACTAAGTTTTCAAAAATTGACATAGGACAGATATGCATCTCATATCTTGAGGTAATCACTGTTCCTGAAATATTTACATTTGATTTATAAAAACCAGATAGCCCGAAGTCCCACATCCCCCACTTTATATTCAAGCAGTTAAAATGATGCTTAATAGCTTCATTTACATATCATAGATTTCTTAACAAAGAGTGACACATCTTTTTATGCAGATATGTAAAGTTGTCCTAAAGGGCTGAAAGTTCGCACAGTACACCTACATCTGAAGTTAAATCTTCCCTGTGAATTTCATTCTGATCACATGAGTAGTTCAGAAGTTCAACCTCTAGCCATTGTCCCACCTTAAAGCGGTCATGAAACGATTTTTCAACTTTTTCCTTTTTAGCTTTCCTCCTCATGTCACATTGTACCAAACAGTTCAAGAGGAGCAGGGTGTCTGGCGACTGTGAAAACCGGGAATTCTCCGGGAAATTTTAATTACCGGGAAAAATCAGGGAATTGTCAGGGATATTGTCAAAAACCGATCCCAGTCGGGGAAAATGAGCCGGAAACGACATGGAGTGCCGTGAGCGAAGGCTTGAGGACTTGGGGGCAGAAAAACAGGCAATAAATGCTGCTTAGAGCAACGTGATCTGGTAAATAAATGTATATATATTGAAGCATGCAACTGTGTTTCTGCGTCCAACAAAAAATCTTTTTTTGCAGCGAAAAAAACAAACAAAAAAACTTCGCACAGGGTGCACGCTGGAACAAAAAAAAAACCCGGCACTTAAAGGCTTAAAGGGCAACTTTGGTGAATATTTTTTAATTTGGCATTACGGCTAAAGCAATGTTCCTAAATTACTAGGTATACTTTTTTCTTTCTCGACATTGTGTGTAGTTTTGTAAATATTGCGGCTCCAAGTTTGGTTTCGGGCGTCTACGGCAAAGCCAAAACTATCTGCTAGAAAGATGGCAACACTAATCATCAGCCGTACGGCTGCGACGTGACGTCAACATGGCGCTGCGGTATGTGGTACAGCCAACCAACCGCAACTCAACCGTGACGTGACGTCACGAGGTTGCTGCGCCATTGTTCCTTCACTAAAAGCTAACCCGCTTCCTGCCCGCTAAAGAGCAGCTGGTCACATCTTTAAAATCGTTTTTAGGGGAGTACGCGGCTTCACTTTGACGTAATATTTTGGCTGTGATCATATTTTGTGCCACTAAAGGGATACCAGTCATTTTTTTGGTTTTGATTTTGTCCGAACTTAGCCCTTACTAATGTGGTCCTAGCTTAGGACAAAGTTTATTTATTCCAGTATGGTCGGTTGGTTGCATTCAGATAAAACAGATGAAGGCTGCGGTTAGATCAGCGTGGAAGTGTCGGAAAAAATGCTGTTCAAGCACTAAAAGGCATTCTTGAGACAGTGTCGGATAGTGAAATGTACTAGAGGCACATTTATGTGATGCAGCACTAGTGCCATTTTCATGAACATGTGGGAAGGGACATGATAATGGTGCTTTTGCAGCACCGCGCACATTTCCCCAAAACTTGTGCTGTCTGAAATGGTCTCTCAATGAGTCGAAATATTAGGAAAAGTACCAATGGATTGTGCTAATTCATTTTGCTGTGACATGAGAGTGTCCTGTTTTTTCTTCCAGTTCTCCGGAGACAGCGTTGTCACGGGTCATGGCGAGATACACGGCAGAAGAGTGTTTGTTTTTAGTCAGGTACGAACATGTTTGATTCAAATGACAGCTTAATCTTTGGTTTGCTTAATGGGGTTGTGTTTGAAATGGCAAGAATGCAGATGTACATTGCTGTTCTTGTTCTGTGTTGTATGAAGCAAAACAGGCAGGAGCGACCGAGCCTTGAGTCTACCCATTTGTTTTGTTTATGTCAGTTTTAGGCTGTCTTGAACTCCATCATAAATTCAACACATGCAGACTAATGTGGACATTACACTCATATGTTAATTTTTGGCACCAAGGGCTCTGCCACCCTGATTAATGCTAAATTTGGGTATACGAACCTTTAGTTCCTTTTGGTTGTATCTTAGATTTTCTTTAAAAAACTGGCTATGTGCTCCAGTTCTGGATCTTCTGCAATGCAATTTCTTTTTTTTACAATTAACCTTTTAAATGTTTTCTGGTGCAGCATGGCCTATGTTTCATTTCGTGCCATTTACCCTTTCATGGTCGCATTTTTTTTTCCAAGGGCGCACCCCCGTGGTCGTTTTTTTTTACTCGGTGTGATAGCAAAGAGAATTCACAAGTTTATTGTAGCATAAAAAATGTAAGGCTTAAAATAAATAGTAACACACACTTCAAAAGATCTGCAGCACGCTCGCTCGAGGTAGAACAAAACAAAAAGGACTAAATATTTCGAATTGTCAACTTTCTAGTACTTCTTCAAAGTGTGGTAGTCCTTGAAGCAGGGTTCCACACACTGGCCCTTGTCACAGGCGGTGCACATGAACCTTGTGTCCTTTCTTTGCTTCGGTCTGAGAGCTGTGTTGGCACACACGTGGCACCTTCGTTGGGTGCGGCTGCCTTTTGCCGTTGTTTGTGGCACCCTCTCGACGAAGTGTCGTGCTGTCAGCCTCGTTGGGTTGTCTCCGCTGGGCCTTCCACTCTTCCGCTTCTCGGTATGATGCTCCTCAACGAGCTGGTATACGACTCTTCTTCTGAACTCGGCGAACGTGATCTTGGAGGCACTCTTTTCACAGTGAAGAAGGAATGCATTCAACAAAGACATGTCCAGAAGGTGAAAAAAAAACTTCTTGTACCACTTTAGCGCCTTCCTGATGCTTTCAGTGAAGCTCAGCTGCATGTCTACTTTGTCCACGAGTCCCATCTTCTTCTCGTACTCGAGTATGCATGCTGGCTTTTTCTGTGGAGTGCCTGTTCTTCTGTCCACCTTGCCAGTGTCCTCAAGATGAGCTCCATCAATTGAGGTCAACATATGCATTTCCCTTTTGTCACACCACTTCAGTGCCAGAAGTGTATCGGTGTGAAATGACTCTACTTCTCCCCTTCTCATCTTTTTTTTGAACTTGGGAAGTCCCTTTCTGTTCTGTCGAACTGTTCCGCAAGCATTGGTTTGCTTCCCTTGAAGATATTGGAAAAGCGCCGGACTGGTGTACCAGTTGTCTACGAAAAGAGAATGCCCTTTTCCGAGATAGTGGTTGAGCAGCTCGAGGACAACTGAGCTCGAAAATCCCAACTCCTTCATCATGGAAGCTCTGGTATACACAATGAACCTCAAGATGTACCCGGTCATCATGTCGCACAGAACAAACATCTTCACTCCAAAACGGTGCCTTTTTGAAGGGAGGTACTGGCGAAATGAAAGGTGTCCTCTCCAGGGCATCATCGACTCATCGATACAGAGATCTTGGTATGGGACCAGGAGACTCGCAAACTTTGCCTGAAGTGTCTCCATGAGTGGCCTGATTTTTCTTAGTCGATCTGCTGCGTCAGTGCTGGCACTGAAATGAAGCACTCTCAGCAAAAGGCAGAAGCGATTTACTGAGAAAAGCCTTGAAAGAAAGGGGGTCTCAGTCATTAGGTTGGTGGTCCAGTAATCCCTCACAGCATCTTTTCGGGCGAGCCCCATCAGCAGAACAGCTGCCAGAAAGCAGTAGATCTCAGCGAGACCAGCGTCTACCCATGCTTTCAGTCACGATTTCCGTGCAAGGTCAAGCTGCGCGATCAGCTGGTGCACGTAGTCATTCGTCTCGTCTGCAATCAAAGACACAACTCCCTCGTCGAAGTAGAGTTTGAAATAATCTGCTTCTTTCGCATTTGGCTGGAGTAGTGTGCCTGCAGGCTGTCTGGAATGCGACGTGTCAAATGGAAATATAGATGGGGAGAAGTCTTCACCTTTTTTCCAGTCAGTTTCGTTTTGATGCGCCCGCTTCCGACACGGTCCAGCAGACGGTGCGGCTGTGTCGGATTCCGATTCCGAGCTGGTTTGCAGTTGTTCGTTGGATGTCGAGCTGCCGTCCGACTCAGAGTCCGAGAAGGGTTCAAAATCTGAATCCGAAGAGCCATCGCTCCAATCTCCGCTACCTCTGGAGCAGCTGGCACGTGCAGCCATCTCGAAAGTTATCGCGTGCACAGAGCGTCCAGTTTCGCAATTTCAAAAGTCCCTCCAAAACAAACACGGCGGGAGATATGTGGTCATAGTTCCCTACAACCCTATGAGATGGCAGCACGTCCCCGCGAGCGCGCCCGTTCGTGCAGAGGCATGAATTTTTGAATGAGCAGTCGCGGACGTACATGTACGTCGGCAGTCATGCGGGACGCACCCGCGCTGACGTACGGGTACGTCAGTGACCATGAAAGGGTTAAACACATAATCATCATCATCAACTACTTTGGGGTATGACAAGCTTCTATGACACATTTGTATCCCAAGGATTGTCGACTAACTCTTACGGGTGCATTATCCTTTTATTAAGGTCAGGAAATGATGCAAAGCTACAAGCTAAAAAAAAAAAAAAGCATTGACGAACAAAGCACAGTAGCTTTCTTTCATTGGTATGTTAATATTTCTCATGCAGTGAATCTGTGCTGTCTGCATGTGCTTGCTTGCATTACATTTTGCAGCAAACAAGATTTTATAACTTTAACATCACTTACAGTTGCGTTCCGCTCAGCTTGGATGTCTCTTTTAAGTCAGTCTTCTTCTCGCATGTCTTTACTCAGTGATACAAAGACATGCACACAAAAATATCACTGGCTGCTTTCCCACATTTCATCTTTTCTTTGATGTTGCAGGACTTTACCGTGTTCGGGGGCAGTCTTTCCAGTGTACATGCCAAGAAGATATGCAAGGTAACTGTCATAATCCCATGTAGTACCACCAATTGTTATTCTTTCACTTATCTAATCTTTAGGAAAGTCACAGGAAGAATGGCAGCAAAATCGTACAACTTGGTAGAAGCTCTTGATGGAACCTCATGTGTTTCCACACATTTTTCATATCATGCTGTTATTCTATTACAGGCGTATCCAAGCTGCGGGTCGCATGCGGCACTTCGTGTGTTAAAGTGCGACCTGCAGCTCCCCCCTCCCCCCGCACACACACACACACACATGCTCCCCCGCCTCCCTCCCGGTCACAGGAGCACTCCCCCAAAAAGAGAAGTGGAACGAGTTTTAAATCGAAAGACAGGTTGCGGTTTAATAGTCTTGTGCTACCTTACAAACAGGTCGACTGCTTTTGACTCGGATAGAGTGAAAGCAGTTTGAGTTTCGCTTATTGCTCTGGACAGAAAGTTTGCCCCCCCCACCCCCACGGCTCTTGGAAGTATGGTGGACGAAAAGGCGGGCGCCTAATTACTTAATAACGTGCCATATCTTACAGTAAAATACAAACATTGAAAGATGTCATTTTGAGTGCAAACACTAGCTTCAGAAAGAAGAGACATCATGAGAATTCTTTATTTTTTTGTCAACTTGGAGTTGGGCATTAGTCACAATACTTTTGTCGTTTGTTCTCATAGAACTAATAATTGCATTGCACGTGTTAAATTTCTAAAGCCTCGTTTTGTTGCATTATAATTAAATGACAAATTCTCCAGTTTAGGCAGAAACGGCCTTATTCAGTCAGAAAAAGCAATGTGGACATCAGTGCCCGCAACTTTCAAAATAACCAAAAGTTCAATCCACCTCATCTCTTCAACATATCATAAAATTAAAAAAAGTATTTTTTGTTGTTGGTGAGAAATTATTTTTTAAAGATGGGCCTTTCCAACCATGCCTCCAGGTGCTTGCCTCATAGGCGACGCACGCTGGCGTTCGTCAGCGAAGCGTCAACTGTGTGAGATGCCGCCGCAAGGTCTTCAACACCCTCCTGAAAACACGTTTGATTCAGTCGAAACGGACGTTATCCTGACTTCCACGCATCCGCGTCCTCCTTACATTACATAACGATACTGGCGTCTTGATTTGACTCTACTTCTGCCCAGGTAACTGCCTACGAACGCAGGCCAGCATCGTCTGCTTCTCAAGTTTTGGAATGCATACTGCGCGTCGGCCTTGTCTGTCGTATGTCCAGATATAAAAACAATTCAGACCAGATAGCTCTTCACCGATGCGAAATGATAGCGGGGATGTTTCTTCCCTGTTGAACTTGAATGTATTTAATGTAATATAATGACGGAAAACACATTCCACTCTTTGCGGTGGATGCCTCACAACTCTGAGGTAACGTACATGTGCAGTATTTTAGGCTCTGGAATACAATGGAGGCCAACAAAACATGTTTTGAATTTCGAACCGACCAGTATTTTTAGAGGAAGTGTGTTTGATAAGAGGTGGGATTTACACGGGTGCCGTTTTCGCCACTTGAATGTCAGGCTCGGCAGACATTAGATCAGGTAATAACCGTAATGGTAAGTCGATTTATTAAACAAATCATTGATTAACCTTTTAAATAATGGTTTCATGGCTGATGTTCCAATTCAACTATTGATGCCAATTACTACCAGAGGCTTGACCAAGTTAGAAAATTTGCGAAGTGGTAAAAGTTTAGATATTCATCGATCTGTTTTCGCGTTCTTACTTCCTACTATTTCAGTATTGTGCGCAGAACGAATGCCACAGGCCCTGCCCAGAATGACGGTTAGAAGAGTGACGTGGTTGTTTGCATGACATTGCCACTATCTCAGCATCGCGTTTTTGGTGGATGCACCAACAAACTTCAATACATCTTAGTTATATCAAAGTACATTTAAGTTTAATGGGGAAGCGACATCACTGTTATTATTTTGCATCGGTGAAGTGCCATCCGGTCTGAATTGTTTTTACATCTGGACATCCGACAGACAAGGCCAACATGCAGTATGCATTCCCAAACTCAGGAAGCAGACGATGCAGGCCTGGGTTCGTCAGCAGTTACTTGGGCAAAAGTAGAGTAAATTGAAGGCGCCAGTATCATTACGTAAAGTATGGAGCATAGAGATGCATGGAAGTGAGGATAAGGTCCACTTCAACTGAATAAAACATGTTTTCAGGAGAGCGTTAAGGACCTTGAAGTGGCATTTCACACCGTTGACGTTTCGCTGGTGAACGCCAGTGTGTGTCGCCTACAAGGCAGGCGCCTGAGGCAAGGTCAGAAAGGTTCATCTTTAAAGAATAATTTCTCAGGAACAACGAAAGGTATGTTTCTAATTTTTTGGTGCGTTGAAGAGATGAAGTGGATTGAACTTTTGGCTACTGCGAAAGTTACGGGCACCGATGCCCAGATTGCTTTTTTGGCTCTCAATAAGGCCGTTTCTGCATAAACTGGAGAATTTGTCATTTTATAAACAATGCAACAAAATGTGACTTTACAAATTTAACATGTCCAGCGCAATTTATTAGTTCTAGGGATGCCGCAAACTTTCTTCGAATCGAAGTTTCGATGATCGAATCAAGCGGTTCGAAAGATTTGAAAGATTTCGATTTTTCGAATTGTCTACATCGTAAAATTCGACGGAAGTCGAATTTTCGAACTTGCTAAGCTGAGAAGTTTGACGCTTTTCGAACCGTCAAACTTATTACGCTAAAAAATTAGATCTTTTTCGAACTTTCGAATTTATTGCGCTGCAAAGTTCGATGCTTGTCGAACTTTTGAACTTGACTGACCAAAAAATTCGATGAATTCGAACTTTCGAACTTATTTATCAAGGGAATTCGAAAAGTTTCGAACTTTCGAATCCTGAAAAGTCAGAAGTTCGACGAACTTCGAACTTTTAGGGTAAAAGTTTGACGTTCGTCGAACTTCGAAAGACCGCCGGACGGTTTCATTTGAATTCAAGTAGCGAGGTACATTCATAATTTTTTTCTTCTCGAACTCTTACACGCGGTGCTGCGTTCCTTACGAAAGACAATGCCGTTTGTTTCAATGTTCTGGCATGCTTAGTTTTAAAGAAATAAATTCCCGAAGGGGCGAGGAAGGACGACGGGTTTTTGACGATTATCGTTTGTGCCAGATTTGAAGCGCGCTGTAGCCGAAGCTATTTATGGTAGAGATGTTATACTTCTTTAAGAATGATCTATGTATAGCCTAGGTAAGTGCCGTCTTAAGATGTGATTATTGTTATTCAACGTGAGTTTTGAAGAAATGTCCAAACATGTATCTACATGCAATTATGCCCTAAACTTTATATTTATTTTCGTCTAAGTTGTTTGAGGTATCGCAATTAAATTAACACCATGGACAGTACATATCATTGCCATCTGCAGAACGCAAAATAATGTATTTATTGTTTTTTTCACGTAATTAACTCATAGGAGAAGATTTCTAATAGTGTTCAAGTTCAGCACGTCATTAAAAGAAAACTTTTTTTTTTTTCGCTTCACGATCCTGTGAAGTATTTCTTTTAGCCCGTACACATTTTGGTAAATGAAACTTGTTTCGAAGTTTTGAACCTCTGAATATGCAAGAATACAACACTTCCGGTGAATTCTTGATAGTTTTTTTTCCAGCTTTTTATCCCCGCATTTATTTATTTATTTATTTTTTTTACTATTGGCACAGGTATTTAGGTTGAAAAGACATAGCTTTGAACTTCCGAACCACTAAGCATGTGACGAGTAGTGCCTTCTGACAACGAGTTTCTAACAATGACCATCTACGCAATCTTTTATGCAGTGAAGAGCGACAGTAGCTATACATATGCATAAATAATTTCAGATTAAAATTAGCTCGACCACGCCCTCTTTCCCCGTATTGTTTTCTTTAACAGTCCGAAATATCTGGAAGGGGGGAAGGAAACCGAACCCCCCCCCCCCTTCCTGCTACCCTCTTTCCCCCGTTTTTCCTCTTCCGACGCCACTTGTATGGTAAAACGCTCCTCGACCTCGAGTTGTGTCGGCTTTTTGCGAGGCGAATGCTCCGTTCCTGAAAATAAACCTCCAGAACAATTACAAACTTAACTTACTATATGCCAGCGTCATTCGGGCGGACTTCGATCGGATTACTACCAGCGTGCAGGGGGTGGCGAGGTAGTTGCCAGGTCGCTACAAGGTTTTTCTGAGCCTCAACCAACTGCTCGCCCCTGGCCGTTTCGAACTGGATGAGTCTCGCAAAACAGTCTGTTCGTGTGATCACTACTGCGTGATGCAAGTTAAAGTCCCCCCCCCCGGGTCGGCGGTCACAATTACTGATCTATGGTCACACGTCACTCTGCACTGCCAAATATTCCAGCACCATCCGGGACACTCGTCGTCTCATTTAATTGCCTGACCAACTTCGCAGAATCTAGATATCACACCCTAACTTTTCTAAACTTGATTTTGTGAAAACCAGTGAGTCGTGAAAACGTTATTTGAAACTGAAACTGTGGAGAAACTTGAAAACCGGACTTCGAACTTTGAAAACTTGGACTAAAAAAGAATTCAAAATCTTCGAGTTTTTTTTTTTTTTTTTTTTTTTCGAATTTAGCAATAAAAGAGAATCGAAACCTTCGAACTTTTCGAACTTTATGCAGAAAGAAATTCGAAATCTTTGAATTGTTTGAACTTCATGTCTATAAAAATTCGAAGCGTTCGAAGTTTTCGAATTTAATTTCCAAAGAATTTCGAAATCTTTGAATTTATCGAACCTGAAGTAAAAAAATATTCGAAATATTCGAATCCGAAATTTTAGAAACCGAGAAAGCTGCGAACTTTTCTAATTCGAAACTCCACTGAGATCGAAAGTTGCGAATTTTTTGAATTCGAACCTGGGTCGGTACGAAAATATCGAAATTTTTCAATATCGAACCTCAGTTCGCTTCGCAAATATCGAAACCTTTCGAAATCGAACCTGGGGTGGTTCGCGACATCCCTAATTAGTTCTATGAGAATGAACGACAAAAGTATGTTAGGTAACACCCAACTCCAAGTTGACTAAAAAAATAAAGAAATCTTATAACGCCTCTTTTTTTGGAGCTCCTGTTTAGACTCAAAATGACATCTTTCAATGTTTCTATTTTATTCTAAGATAGGGCATGTTATTAAATAATTAGGAGCCCACCTAAATTTGAGTTGCATCAAACCGTTTTTTCAGTGTTCATTTTTATTTATTAAATTATTAATAAAAATTAATAAAAAAAAAAAAACTGTTTTTGGATTTTAGAGGCTTCTTTATCCAAATTAATTTTTTCGTTCATATCCAAGACTGAACAAATTGCTGCGCCTCTTTTGGCATGGAATAACCCAAATGTGAAAGTGGGAGAGAAGCTAGGCTTTATTCCAACCGGAGTCGTGCGCTACGATTCATTTTAGAGCGCAGCTCTTAGGGGCCCGTTCCCGGCTTGAGCGGCGTCGCCGTCGCCGTCGGCGTAACCAAGGTCATCCCAAGGTCACGTGACCCCCAAGGTCACGTGACCCCTCCAGGTCACGTGACCCCTCCCAAGGTCATCTCAAAGGTCACGTGACTCCCAAGGTCACGTGACCCCTCGAGGTCACGTGACCCCTCCCAAGGTCATCTCAAGGTCACGTGACCCCAAGACCCCACGTGACCCTTTGGTCACGTGACCCCTCTGAGGTCACGTGACCCCCGAGGTCACGTGGTCTCCTCCCCAAGGTCACGTGACCCCCAAGGTCACGTGACCCCTCCCAAGGTCATCTCAAGGTCACGTGACCCCAAGGTGACCCCCACGTGACCCCCAGGTCACGTGACCCCTCTGAGGTCACGTGACCCCTCTGAGGTCACGTGACCCCTCTGAGGTCACGTGACCCCCCGAGGTCACGTGACCCCCCTCCCCGAAGTCACGTGACCCCCCCCCCCCCCCCCCCCGAGGTCACGTGACCGCCCCCCCCCCGGAGCATATTAAAGAATGAGGGGAGGAGGAGGGGTCTACCCTCCCCTCAGTACCCTTCACTCCTCCTCCTCAAGAGCTGCGCTCCAATTCGGCGTTACAGGGATTTGTAAACGGCTTTCACTTTTTTCAACATTTTCTTTGTATACCCATTGTAAATGGAACTTGCTCTGAGCCTTATTTCTACAGAGAAGGCTTTGTGTTCCTTTTGCTTTGTATCTATTCTTATTGCAAAAAGTAATAAGTGGTATGCTCCAATATCAAAGAGGAACCCAAATTCATTATCAAAGATGAACTCATTCAGCGATGCATACACTTTTTCTTTTTCAAGTTTTCTGCTAACAGATGTTGGCATCTGCTCCAAAAGCATCAGTGGCTGGACCAAACCAATTTTACGTACTACAGAACTTGCTACAAAAGTTCAAGTGCCACTTTTATCACTGGAAGACTGACACATAGACAGCCAGCTGGATGCACCCTCAAAACCGAAGAGTGTGTCAATTGGGTGCTCGCTATTAAAGTAACTTCATGCTTAGATCTGTCCACTAAGAGGCCTGCTAAATAGGCAGCCTTTTCATTTTCTGCTAGAAAACTGGGCAGTAATGCTGGAATTTTTATGTCGATCAGTAGGAGGCGAGTGCAGTTTACAGATTGGAAATTAGTGCTGTGCAATCGTTCAACTGGGACTCACGCTCACTCAGTAAGGGCAAAGTCCCAGCCGAATATGGCATAGACCTCGTGCCCTAGCCCCACTCTGACCTCCGGAACGTGACGTAGGCAGTCCAGCGCTATGGCCCTCTTATCTTACCTCTGTTGCAGTTAGTTTGAGAAAAGCGGGACAAGCTGCTTTCACAAAGCCCTCCACTCTTTCCACCGTAGCAGAGCAGACGCTGGAGAGGGGCTATTTGGACTCCCCTGCTCTCCAGAACTCACTCTGCTAGAGTGGAAGGCTTTGTGGAAGGGGCTTGTCCTGCTTTTCTTCACCTGCAACAGAATATAGACGATTCTACTCGGGTGAGAGGAGGGAGTGAAATGAGCCTCCATATTAATGCGAAAGCATTAACTGTCCCATGGAGCGAGCCGACGCTATTAGCTTTGAAGCCACGCCGAACAGCAGCTAAACTCTCCTCTCCCAATGGAGCGAAGTGATGCCACGATCTGAAGGCTCCCAGCTTTGAAGCCGCGCAAATAGCCACGGAAAACAGCAGCTAAATTCATCTCTCCTAAATGAGCTAAGTGAAGCCGAAATCCATTTGGCTGGCGCGCATCATAGTTTCAAGGAACGAGACTCTCATTGGCCGGCGCGCGTCAGTTTCAAGGAGGCCACCCTATGGCACTGCGGGCCCGTGCCACGGCGCGCAGGTAAAAGGAAGCGGCTGGCTGCGGGGCCTTCCAGAGCCGACTCGGGCAGACTCTGGAATGGCTGCACGGCCGATGTCAACGTGCGCGGCGTGGCCACTTCACAGGAGCGCACGCAAGAACAACATTCATGCTTTCGCATTCACAACTCATGAGAAGTGCTTAGGTGTACCTTGAGCCTTTTTGGGCAGTTCCAGCAGTAGAGCCGACCGGACCTGTCCTGGCGAAGAGAACCAATGTGAACGGCGCATGCCCTTTCCCGCTTCTATCCTGCCGAACCGCTTGAAATTGCCACGGGGGATGGCCGGTTTTTTACCTGCCTTCGGATGGTGCACTTGCCCTTTTCTTTTTTTTACTCTGACGATTTTGTTGAAATGCCTGGATGTGCGTAGATGGCCAAGTAGTTGAATAAATTGGCACCGCCCGCGAGAGCCCTCAGTGGAATGGTCTACAGGAGGTGTTACTTTCACAACCAGATTGGTGAAGGGCGACGGGGTGGGTGCAGGTGATGGACCAAGCGATGCTGGTGGGTGCTCCAGTGATTGGCCTCAATGATTCTGGGGGAGCGAGGATCCAGGAAGGCGTGGAGTCCCTGGCGGGCTACGCGGACATCTTCCAGCGCAACGTGCTCTCGTCTGGTGTGGTGCCCCAGGTGTCTGTGATCATGGGTCCCTGTGCAGGCGGTGCCGTCTACTCGCCCGCCATCACAGACTTCATCTTCATGGTGAAGGTGGGGACCCTCGGTGGGATCCTTGTGGCGGGACCCACATGTGTGTTCGTCTCTCGCAGGACACTTCGTACCTCTTCATCACGGGTCCGGATGTCGTCAAGGTGAGCCGCCGCGATTAATCTATTTGGTTTATTGTTACGGTGGATGATCTGTCTAAGGAGCTTGACTGCTCCCTTTTACTTAAGCCCGACCACTCCTGATGCTACAATCAAACGGAGCCGGTTAAGCAGCACCGAAAGCGCATCGACACAGTGCTCATTGTCTTTTTGGATTCGCCATCACCGACTAAACCAGTCGTGTGCAGAATAAAGCCCAGGATCGGGGCGCATTCACTGAGCACAATTGGTTTAGTCGTTTTTTTCAAACGCACAAAATGCGACGCGCGTCGTAATGTCATCTGATCGTAGCTTCGGCTGTGCTCTGTCTTATAGTAAAACAGAGTATAAGTAAGGACGAGATTTATTTGCAAAAAAGTCAAATGGGAAGATGCTGCCCGCTAAAGTGTAGTATGCTCGTTAACTATCACTATGAGATAGTCCTGGTTACGTTGGTGACTTTCTCAATAGCACCTGACGCATTGCACACACACAACCGTTCCTTGCAGGAGAAATTGGTAGCCGAGAAGTAGGGAGAAATCCAAGTCTCACCGTGACTGGCAGACAGAGGCAGATGTAGACTTGCACAGTTACCCGTTTAATGCTTCATGAATGTGTAGGGTTTATTTTGATTGTTTAATTATTACCGAATGGGGTAAAGCCCTTTCACTGTCTTTTAGTTACATGCTCCTGTGAGCGACCGATGAAGTAGCAAAATGGTGCGCAGTTGGCACTACACTTTTGCAAGGATGCAGAACATGTAACAGTAGAGAGGAATGTCTTTGCGTAGGTCAGATGTGACACTCACAGGTGTTGTGAGCGTGCAGATATGGCACATCATAAGTTAATTTGTATTCTTTGTTTAGGCTGTGACCAACGAGGACGTCACCCAAGAGGAGCTGGGCGGGGCCAAGACTCACACGGTCACATCGGGTGAGGAGAGCAAACTTGATGTTTGATTGATTGACATATTTTATTCTGACACAGATGTCAAGACAGTTAGAACGAAAGGTGATTGAAATCACCTGACAAGGTCCTAACCGCCTATACAACAAACTGGCAGCAGGCCTACGAATTTGGCATTGAAGAATGTACATACCGTATTTACTCGCGTAATCCTTGCACTCGCGTAATCCTCGCACCCCTAATGTGAGCCACCAAAAATTGGATTTTCCTTTTCCTCGCTCCGCCAGAACTGCCGTGGTGAAAGTCGCCTGCTCGTGATACCCGCAATGTACCTGCATGATTCACGCGCTCTCCACCGCCCGCATTTTCCGGCGCCGCGCCGCTCTGTTTGGCCAGAGTCCTTTAGCCGGTTTCACGTGCGCGCAACTAGACGGCGTTCGCGCAGCCCGTGCTCATTCGCGTTGCCTGTGGTTTTATTGTTAAGGTAAGTCCTGTATTGGTAGTTTTCAAACCTTGTAGGTAACTGCCGGCGCAAAAACCCCAATTTGCAGCCGCTCCTTTTTTTTTTTTTATTTATATATAGGGTTTTACATTTCTGTGGAAAATTTTCCCCGCGTAATTCTTGCACTTCCAACTTTCCATAGATTTTCCGCAAAACAAAAAGTGTGAGGATTATGCAAGTAAATACGGTATAGCACAAATTGGTTACTGCATTATATTACAGCTTAACAGGTAATTCTTAAAAATCTGTGCAATGACTTTAATGTTGAAAGAATTGGAATCTTCTGCTTTTGATATTGTTCACTTTGTCACAAATGACAGAAAACACACCTCCTTTTATCGAAACGTTGCGATTCCGCCGCGTAATAGCGAGGCAAAACTTATAATGTTCCCCGACCTGCAGCCGCGAGCGGCAGTCATGAGAAACACGCGGCGTGACGTCACTGGGGAATTTTGTAGAAAGATAGCAAGTTGTGCGAATACCTGCTCGATAAAAGGTAACTTTTTATAAATCTTGTTGTTCCAACATATTTATAGATTCGTCAAAAACCTGGTATCATCGACAAAACTTTTATTATACGGAGTTTTAGTGGCGCCATCTATCCTAGGTCCACAAAACTATCAGCTCCATCTGCTACCGTGAACAGCCGCCAGAAGCCGGAGGGGGAGCGGACCCGGATGAGTCTTTCCTCTTTTTACCACATTGTTCGCGCTGTGTCCGCCAGCACGTTGTCACGCGGTCGCGAGCGGAGGAGTTCTCGCTGCTCACTGATGGCTCTAAAGAGATAACTTTTCCGGAGCCCTGTGCCTACCCCCTCAACGTCACTGCGCACTTGACCCAGAAGATGACGTACGAGTTGAGAGGCGGCAAAAACCTGGATCTTTTTCATGTTTTTAAAATAAAAACTAGGGTATCCAGGCAAAATCTGCTTTCTGTAGTTCACTTCAGAAGTGTCAGGCATCAACTTTCACAATTATATAAGCAAAGCCCTGAAATTGTTGCACAGCTCCTTTAACATAATTTTAAAAAAGAAACACTGAAGAGATTTCATGGGCCAGTTGATAAATGCAAATATGTTTGCTGAGAATATCCACAATATTATATGATAATTTTTGAGTATCGTAATGAATTCTAACTTTAATTTTTAGGAATTGCTGATGTCTCAGGTTGCAGTTTGTTTGTTTAGCTATAGGGAGTATTCACTGGACGCCATATTTGAGGGCGATGTTTAGAGCGTATGCCCAGAACGAGCTCACGTTAATAGCCTGCTAAGATCGACAACCTTGATGGTGCTAAATGCACGCTCCAAAAGGACTGCGGAAGCTCGCCGCCAGCACGCGCTCAGCAGCCGCGCCCACAGATATGGCCGCCAGTGAATACTCCCTATAGATATGTCATAAAAACTAATAAAATCAGTGTTAATTGATTGTTATTTGGACATGATATCTTGTCAGACGTCTGTAGATCCATTTTGAGGAAATTCAGAATCCCATTTAAAATTTCCTGTGTCTGGTAATACAGCCAAACCTCGATGTAACGAACTTCTGTGTAACGAAGTACATAACTTTTTCTAACCGCAAGTGTATGCACGCCGTGTATTTTTGACCTCTATGTAACGAAGTCCTGTTTGCCGAAATTTCAATTTAACGAAATTTCATGGACAATTTGTCGCAAACTTTTGGGTCCCAAAGTAGATTTTGGGAAGCACATGCGCTGAAATGGGCCCCCGATAAAGCCCAAAAAGGGAAATGGGTCGAATTTGGCGAGTGTTGTGTACAGAACAGCTACTAGAGGACACTAGAGCCGCCACCGTTTCGTCCGTCGGCTTCGTTCGCACTGAGTAGTTCGTTTCGAGGCCTAACTAAAAGCATGCGTTTCTTGTTGTCGTGGGCGATGGAGCCTCGAAGGCGATGGAGCCGCCCCTGACAACGTCGATTACGATGACTTTCTATATGCCGACTCTGCTGTCATTGCGACGGAGGAGGTGACCGACGAGGCGATAGCTAGCGATGTTCGTGGGAACTTGTAAGACTGGGACGACATCGAGCCTGATGAGCAAGACACCTGCGATTTGTCCAGTAATCGTGAAGTGGTGGAAGCGATGAATGTCTTGAGGGTGTTGCGATCCCACAGTGAGACGAAGACGCAATGCAGGCCGTCTGGCTATGCGAACGTCGTGTGATGCTAATAATAATGCCTAGAGTGGCTCAGGAAAAGGTGATGGACTACTTTCAACTGAAATGGAGGCGTCCTCGGCGAGTGTTGTTCACTTGAGAAACATTTGTGGAAGCTTTCTTTAACGTTAGCCTCGAATTTCTATGTAGCGAAATTTCAATGTAACGAAGTAAATTCCGAATTTTACCGACTTCGTTACATCGAGGTTTTTTAACCTCGACGTAACGAGGTTAAAAACTGTAATTAGAGGAAACACTGAGGTTAGATGCTAGGCTATTTCTCGACAAAGACAGTGGAACCTCGATTATGTGTCCCCAGATTATACGACATCCCGCATTTTACGACGAATTCGCCCGGTCCCAATGAACTCCCCATAGAAATGATGTAATGGCTGCGTGAGGAGGGGGGCAGGCAGCGCGGCAAAGCAGAAGAGTTCTGCACCCCTGCGCACCGATTCAGAGGGTCCAAAAACATGCCGCCGACACCCCAAGATAGCCTCAGCGCCGAGAGAGAGCAGGAGACAGCGCTTTCCCTTCTCCTCCTTGGGTTGTGAAATGCCTAGGCGCTTTCGCATTGCATCCTTGCTCCGCTCGTCCTAACATTCTCTCGTCTCGCTTGCCCTCGCTCTCCTCTGCATGACACTTTCTCCAACTCGTTGCTACTTTCTGTATTGAGCACGCTTCCTTTTGCTCCCACCTGCCGTTCTCGCTCTCTGAAAGCGTGAAAAGCGACAAGGAACCCATCATTGCAATCGTGCACGCCGGCGAACAATGCCTCGCAAACGAACACCATTGACGATAAGAGAAAACTACATCAGATTATAACTTAGACATCATTTAAAACCTCCGCTTGTCTTTTTTGCATGAGGCCAATCACTGTATCCCTAATTATAATTTCTTCAGATTATGCAACGATTTTGTGCGGTCCCGCAAAAGTAGTTTAATTGGGGTTCTACTGTAGTATCACTCTTCTTGTTGTAGTAGAGTTTGAGAAACTAGGGTTCCTCTCTGACAAGGAAGCTACTAAGTCTGATTATCACTTTGCTCCATTTCTTTTGTTTTTTTTAATGTTGTAGTTTAGGTTGGTGAGTTTTTTAAATACTGAAATTTTAAGCAAATCTATGCATCTTCACTTGCCATATGGAGCAGGCTCAAACTACGGCGAACATGTTTCCGTCGCCTGTTGCAGAAAGTTTGTTGAATCTGTACTTGCTTCAGTACCTGTTGAAAGAGTCTTTGTTCCTTTACGAGGGCAGCCTCTTTAGTTAGCAAGTGCTTCTGTCCACCATGAACATGGCTGTAAGGTTTTGTAATGAGATAAGGTGGTGCCATCTCATACTTGACCACATTGTAACTTTCTCTTAGATCGAAAAATTACTTGGGCAACCTATTTGGAACATTGAATTCCAGACATTATGATCGCGACTTCATTCTTTTTCTGATAATTTTTACAATGTCATGTTGAGGTTAACATTTTCTTTTAAGGATAAAATTTTGATTCGTTTGAATGTTTTTTTAGTCATCTACAGTTTATGCGTTATCCCTAGTTAGTTTTATTAATCTGTCACTCTGGTTGTGAAGGCAATATACTACAGGCTTGTGCTTCAAGCGGATGCAGCTAGATAAGATTGTCTCTTTTGTAATCCTGTAACACATTTCGTTTACATTTTTAAATGGTCTAGGGATGTCGGTACCTAGCATTTGAACTTCTTTGGGGTCAAAGCTATAATTAATTGGAGGTTTGATTTTTGCTCTCTTATGAATGTGAGCTGTTCTCCTAAGGTTCTTTCTTTTTGGTTGCAGGGGTGGCCCACAAGGCCTTCGAGAATGACGTTCATGCCCTGTTGCAGCTACGTCGCTTTTACGACTTCATCCCCATGAACAACAAGAGTGGCCCTCCGATTCGCAAGTGTTACGACCCCTGGCAAGTACCGCTTGTCCTGCGAGCCGGCTCGCTTGACATTCAGTTTTCATTGAGCATCCGTACTGTGGTCATGGGACCAACACCTCTATTTTCCATAGTTATTTGAGGATGAGGGTGACTTCGTAGTCAAACTGAAGCTGCAATCCTGCCTTCAGTGAGAATGCAGTTCTCAAACTGTTTTCAAACTTAGCAGTTTAGATAAATGGTGTGGGAGGCGGTGCTTTACACTCATGTTGGTTTGTCAGAATCAAAATTGTAGCGCTCTAGATCTTTCATGGGGGGGGGGGTTGAATCCTAGCTGATGTTCCCTCAATTTAGCAGAAGCCAAAGCTGCACTCTGTAACTGTGCTTCTAATTGCATGTCATTGAATCTTCAGTCCTTTACTGGGGTATGCTGGTGACTTTATTAGTTTGGTACAAAAGTGCCTAGAAGTTTATTTTGCTGTGTGCAATGCAGGGACCGCCTGGTGCCCAGTCTAGACACGGTGGTTCCTCTGGACAGCATGGCAGCCTACCACATGCTGGACGTTATCCTTGACGTGAGTGCCTTCACCCTAGACAGGGTGAAAATTGCCTCTAAAGTGACCATTGTAACATCCCGTTTGGCACTCTAAGCACATGCCATTCATATCTCTTGTGAAGAAACAAGATATAAGCCTTTAGTCCCATTTAGGACTACCATAAAGTTCAAAATTAAGTGAAAAGTATGGGGCGGGCGATCTTTCCGGACACAACAGTTAACACGCAAGCACCTGCTTTGAACTCGCATGACACGGAAATCCAAGGTGCAGATTGCGGACACGGCAAACTCGCATTTGACAATACTGTTTCTTGGCTTGCAGAGTGTCATCACGAGTTATTTTGTCGGTCGATGCCGAAGGTAATCTACGCTGCGTCCGACAACACTCGCAGGCTTTTTCGGCAACCCTTGCGGCAGCGGACAGTTCTGTCTGCGGCCAGAAGGGTTATATACTCGAGTCTCATTGTTGTGGACCCCGTTAATACGGACACCGCACTATAAAGACAAAATTTGGGGGACGAACTGGGTAAATACGGTCTAACCCAGATATATTGAACGGAGTTTGAGATATCAATAATTTGATATACAAAAATATGTTAAATTAAGTTCTAGTTGAAATTTCGTGGCGTCTCTGCTAATACCGAAGGCCGCGACAAACGTGAGCTTACCAAAAACCGTAGAACCTTGTTACCGTATTTACATGAATATAGGTCGACCCTTTTTTTAATTTTTGAAAATTTGAAGGGGGGTGGGGGGGGTCGACTCATAATCGAACCAAAGTGTTCCACCGCCGGCAAAAACGAAACAACCGTGATAACATGAACCCCTTGGCCTGTTACGAGTTCAGCCGGCTATACCCCTAGCATTGCACTATTCTGAGCGCTTATTTTTCAAAATTAATTATTTTTTTATTTGCACGGACGAGTGTTATTGATTATTAACCCGAATATACGGTGGTGAACAGCACGCGGCGCACTGGACTCTCGGGGGGGTGGCGGCACTTCTTGTAAGAGCCACTTTGGAGGCCACTAGAACAGCTACACGGCTCACTCACCCTGCGGTTTTCTTCGCAGTTTTTCGCGTGGTTTACGGTCGCACATCGTTTGATCGAGTGACGGAGCGCTAACTACGTTTTTTTTTTGTATTGACACGCGTGATCCGGGCACCTTAGGTTTTCCGTGCTCGTTTATGGCCCTTCTTCATCCAAAGCAACCAAGAACTGTGCCGTTGGACGCCAGTTCGACCTGTCGGAGCGGGTAATGCTCCAGTGGAGTCTGCAGTGGCGTGGTTAAACTGTGACAGCAAACGAAGAGGCTTCCGTAGGCCAAAGTCTGGATAGGTGGGGGTGCCTTCTGGAGTTGGAGGTCAAGCTTGCAACGCATGCCGCAAAAAGTGTGCAATCGGTCTCTGCTCGTGACGTCCAACGCGATCGTCGAGCAAGCACGGAAGATGCGGTTAATCCTGTCATTTACAAAGTGCGAGATTTCATTGGATGACCCCGACGACGTGCTTCGAGAATGTAGCAGTGATGACAAAGGTACTGAAATCACCAGTGTGGACAAGTCGTAGTCTAGTCGTGGACGGAGTGGGAACGACAGTGAACAGCTTCAGTTGTCCCGCCTCCAGTGTGAACTTCCTAGTTTCGATAACGACTGGCCATCTCACGCACCTCGTGCGTGCATGCGCAGCCAAAGCATGCCAGAAGGCATTGATAGCGTGTTGGAGGCTTGGCTTTCGAAACAGATAGGTACTTTGCCGTTCTCACAAGTTTACAGCAAAATCCACATCTAAAGATTTTTCTTTTTTTTTTTTTGCTGATGTGCAATGTGGGGTGGTCGACTTATAATCGAGTTGACTTACAATCATGTGAATACGGTAATACGTTTTGAAGAAACCGCGATAAAAAAGCATATTATCTAGGAAAACATACGATTTACACTCACCATTTTGAAGCACTAAAAAAATATATACATATATAACAAGAAATAGTTGAGAATAAGATCGAACAACGTTTAATACAGCGCTACACTTGCCGAAAGCATCTGTAAGCTTCTGCTGGCAAATGCCTTGACCTTTCGCGAAGAAAAGCTCCTTTTGCAGTGTCCGCAAGCTCTTCTCCGCACCACTGCTGCCTTTGTAGTCGAAGAAGCCACGTAGAACATCCAATGCAGCAACGGCCTGGGCGAACGTAGGTGCCGGCGGCCTCTCCTGCTCGTCGTCGCTTCCCAACACTTCACCTTGCCGTAGCTCCGCTATGATGTCCGCAGCAGTTTGTGGGTCGCATGTTGTGAGGTCATCATCCATTGCGACGAATTCGCCGATCGCGACGTCGGTGCCAGTGGACCGGAGCTTCTCGTCCATGTCGTCCTCATCGCTCACACATGGGTGGGGTTTTCGCTCATGCAGGGCTCGGCGGCAAAGCTCGTGCTGGGCTCCGACTCCTCTGCTTCTGGCGAGCGTCATAATCCGCGCTTTTTGGAGCAGTTTCGGACTGTGGCTCGCGTCACACTCTCTCACGGCGGGTTTAGGTAGTGCATCACGGTGAGCAATATGGGCTTCTCAGGGTCTTCTCCTCTGGACACGCGAGCAAGGAAGCGCTGAACAATGAACTTTCTGTGCAGATGCTTGACATTCTTGATGATATCCGCATCCAGTGGCTGCAGATGTCTCGTTGTGTTTGCCAACAGGAAGACGACACAAAGGTTCCGCAGGAACGTCGGATCCTTGAAATGCAGTGAGCACTTTTCTAGGAACAGCAGTCCCTTGCGATCTTTTTAGCCTAGACATTCCTCGAGATAGCAAAGGAATACCTCGAACAAACTACAAGTCATCCAAGCCTTCATGTTGTGCTTGTACATGCAAGGAAGTCTGGCGATTTTCTTCAGGCACGTTACCGCTTCCATTTGCCAATCCTCCATGGTTTCATCATCTCTGTTCTATCTTCGTTGCAGCAGAGCAGCACAGTTATTCTGTGTTTGCTGTCTTTGCCGCCATGGAAGAATTTTTTTTTCAAACTTAAGGACTTTGTCGGCTGAACCTTGAAAAAAAGCCCAAGTTCGTCCGCGCCAAACATGTCGCACGGGCGATAGGCGTTAACAAGGCCCGGGAGCAAGGCAATCCAGTTCTCAATGTTGGCCGGATTTACACTGGCTGCCTTTCCGTTCACCCGACAGTATGTGATATCATGCTGGTTTCAAAACCGACTTATCCATCCGTACAACGCGGTGAAATCGTCAATATCCAACATATCGGCGATCTCCATGGCCTTCTCCCAAAGTATACTGCCGTCGAAATTCACTCCAGAAGCTCGTGCTTGCTTGAACCATTTCAGCAAAGCAGCTTCCAGCTCCCCGTGCTCCGCTCCACGAGTTTGTTTAGTAGCTGAGCCGAAAACCAAGGCATTTTCTTCAATGTCCTTTCTTTTGGACACAACCATGTTCACCGTAGAGGCAGTCAGTCGAGCTCTTTAGCAATGTCGATCCGTTTTCGCTTCGGGTCCCGGTCAACGCCAGCAGGAATATTGAACTTTTTCTTGAGGGATAACGGCTTCCGCTGTCGCGACGCCATCGCAGAACGAAACGAAAAGGGTGCGGGCTTGGGGCGGAACGCGAAACCAAACTGCCAACGTGAAGAAAGAAACAAAGAAATTCCAGATTTGTTCATTTACTACAACTACGCTACCGCTACAACTGCCTTGTACGTCCTAGTCTAGAGTTACTCTTGCTCACTGTTGCAATTGGTGCTTTTAGCCCTCCAAACAGTGCCTCAAAGAGCTTGCTGGAGTTACCAAGAGTGACCCATAATCACGTGTCTACTTCGAAAACGCTTGAAAAGCCACAAGCAAACATACTGCTCCAGTGTTGACAACTGAAGCGAACATGCGCTCGCACGGGCGAACGATCGGAAGACGGTCGTATTTGGGTTTTGATCCTTACGCTGCTGCTTCTGTTGCTCGTTACGATAGCATTCGTGCCACTTTCGCCAGTGGTAGCACTTGACAAGAGGAAAATGAATGACAGCATCAGATGGACGCGCTGTTGTTACGAGCGGTTAGTACGCCGCCAGAGTTGCAATCGAGATGCGTAATGTACTATTACTCGGAATCCCTCGCTATTATTTTATGACTAATTGAATAATGAGCTAAGACAGTGAAACCGCGCTGTGTGTTCTGTGAACGCCTTTGTGCACCTGGACAGCTCTCGGAAGTTGCAGAGAACGATAGACGCAGTGGCCGTGTTATCAGCGGGCACTGGCAGACCTACCTGCACGCACGCGTTGTGTATGCCTGGGTGTTTGTTCATCGAAACCTGATGTTTGGAGCTCTGAATATGCGAGTGCAATGTTGATTGCCAAAAAACATATAATCCTATCGACATTTGGCAGAATGTTGAGTGTATTTTCCGGGAAATCGTGTTACCTGTAAAAGTATGAACCGGAAAAAATACAGCGCAACTCTATGGAACGTTTCCTGTGCCCTCACTCAGGAACATATGAACCGGGAATGTACAGGGGTGGAAGCGCTGCGCCAATTGCGCCACCCTGCGCCAATTCACTTCCCTGCGCCAGCCTGCTCCAAAACGTTAATTTCAACTTTTTTTTTTAGTGTTTTCTCTAAATTTAGCGGAAAACGGTTGGCCACGGGCCACCATGAGGTGTGTACTTTTGCTTAGGTGTCACTGCGGGTGACTCGTACCAACTCGACTGGGGCTCCGAACCATGTCTAACCTCAGGGCGAGGCGTCGATTTTAGTTCATCGGGAGTGTGATGTCGTTTTTTACTACAAAGAGTTTATATACGAACACATCGGTTTGGTTTCGGGCATAGTTGGTTGGCGCGGTTGGAACGCGCATGCAGTTGCCCGTGGTCCCGATTTGCCGTGATCGTGGGAGTTGGTGCCTCGGCACCGGTGGGCTACCTTGGCCATTAACATGAGCAGAAGTAAGTGGTCTTTACTAGCCTTACCTGTTATTTGGTAGCCTACCATATTTGGACGCGAGCACATTTGGTAGCCTACCATAT